GGAGATCAATCTTCTCGTTCGCGGCGCGCTCTTTCTCCTTCTGCATCTGGGCCATGAGGGACATGTTGTAGTACTCGGTGTCCATGCGCACCGAGATTTCCTGCAGCAGTAGGAGGAGAAAAACGTGAGGGCCGCGGTGGTTTGGTTTACACTCCCTACTGCACGTCGGCGACAGTATCGTCGACTTACCTCTGGCTGTATTTGGGTCGGGTCGCGACGCTTGTTGATCGTCTCGGTGTCGACGCTCTCCACCCGTTTCGCCCAGTGCTGGAAGAGGGGGATCCGGCAGAGCTTGGAACCTTGGACGTACGGGTGCCATGGTGTGCGGACTAGCTTCACCGCTAGGTCCTCGGCGACGATGCGGCGCAGCATCAGGAGAGTGCGCCAGAAGTGCACCGCGGCTTTGTCGGCGTCTGACCCCTCGACAGCCTTCCCTTCCGCCTGCCATTTGTCACGGGTACGGGGAGCTCAGAAAAGGTCGGCAACACGACTCGGCGGCAAGCTACGAGGGCGTCGACTAACATACCTCCTTCAGCATGTCGTCGACGCCGGGGAATATGTGCTCGGCGAGGAGCTTCAGGAGCTTCTCGGAGGGCGGCACCCTGCTCCGACCCAAGAAGTAGTCCTGCTTGTACCCCGAGTACCCGGCCTTCTTCATCACCACCCCCACCGGAATGGCGGTGATGTACGCTCGCGTCATCTTGTCGAGAGCCCAGTGTCCAAGCTCCGCGATCTCGGCGCGCGGCGTGCCGTCGATAGCCAGCTCCTGGGCCCCGCCCGCTCGAGCGGCGTGCACGTTCCTCTTGCAGAACACCTTGTTGGTGTCCCACAACTGCCGCGTCCAGCGTTGGTGGGTTGCCGCAGAGAGCTCACCCTGGTCGGTGTCGTTTTTGGCGAAGAACAGGTGTTTCTTGTACCAGCTAGCGCGTGTGCTGGTGTCGACCGGCGGAATGAGGCGGACGCCGTGAAACTGACCGATCTGATCGAGGACGAAGTGCAACCACAGGCCCGTCTCGCCGACGGCGCACAACTCCGCTTCGAGGTGCCGCGCGGCGTAGCTCTGCTGCAGACGAGCATCCTTGGACGTCTTCGAGTTCCGCGCTCCGATGACCATGACGACCGGCTGGTTCTCCGGGTTGATCGAGGAGGTGCTCGCCAGTCGGTACAAGAAGATGTCGGGGAGAGTGATCTCGCGGATGCTTGCACCGCGCAGGAGAGAGTGGTGGGAGAGTAGCGTGAGCACCTTCAAGAGAAGAAACCTCCACAGCGTCTGCGAAGGACCCGTACCCCGCGGGTTCCACGCCTTGGCCGCCCACGCCGGCAGCACCCTGAACATGATCTGGCGGAACTGTTCGGCGGTGTAGGTATCGCCGATGGTTCCGCGACGGCGATCGGCGCAGTTCCTGCCAACAATGCCATGGGCAAGGGGTATTTAGGGCGGCGTCGACAAAGATCATGACAGCAGGAGAGTGGTCGACGTAGGTTAAAACATAAACTCACTTGATGTCCCGCTCGTTCTTGGTGCGGATCATGTACCGCACCTCCGACCTGACCACCGATATCTCCCTCATGATGCTCAGTTCCGTCTCCCGGAAGAGCGTCGCCTCCACTCTCGCCGCCATCTGGCATGCCTTTATGCGCCCGAGGAGCGTGTGTACCGTTGTCGACTGCACCGGCTGTGTTCCTGTGGCGTTGTCGGCCCCCTTGCCGGACTCGGCATCGAGGTTCAACTCCCGAATCATGTACTTCACGTATGCGCGAAGCCGGTCCTTGGTGACCCTAGGGCCGTGCAGCCACACGTGAGACCGGGGGACATCGGCCTCTTGGTCCCAGTTTTTCTTCTTGTTCTCCCGGATGTAGTGCCCTATCTCGTCGACGTGCTTAAGCCTGTACTCCTGCGGAAGCTTGTTGCGAATTTGCTTCAACATCTTCGCCGCCCACCTCTTGTAGTGATAGATCCACGAGGTGTACTGCCTCAGCGTGCTGTTCCTCTCCACGGTTTGCAGGTGGCGAAGAGCGTCCATGACGAGCACGTCTACGCACGCGTAAACCATGTCCTCCTCGACGAAGTCTGCCGCTCTCCACTGTTCGCGCGGCACCGCCAAGTTCTCCTGGTCCTCGTCCTCGTCCTGGTCGAGCAGTATGTCGATGAATTGCAGTTCCCGCCTGAGTCGTTCGTCCAAGGTGCGCGGATTAGAGCTACGAGGTGGACGGTCGTCGTTTTCGTCATCGCTTTCCTCCTCCTCCTCCTCCTCCTCCTCCTCCTCCTCCTCCTCCTCCTCCTCCTCCTCCTCCTCCTCCTCCTCCTCCCCCCCCTCCTCCTCCGCGTCCTCGTCATCGACCTGGTTTCCAGGGGCGGCCGGTGCCGACGAGGTACCTGGCCGACCATTTTGCGTAGGAGTCTGTTTTTTCTTCTTGTTGAACTTCCCTATCGGCGGTGGCGGAACGTCCGTGGTGAACACCCCTTCTGGGATCTGCGTCAGCTTGTCCAGATCGTAGAGTAACTGCAGGTTGTCTTCGTCGGTAGGTGTCGGACTGTGGTCGGTGGATGTCGGACTGCGGTCGGTGGTCGTCGGACCCTGGTCGGTGGATGGCCTAGCGTCGGACATGTCGACGTCGGCCATGTCGGTACACGTCTGCTGCTCTACCGTCGTCCGTGTGCGTTGGGGAGGTTGTTAAACCACTGCCGGTACTGAGTCACGGGTGCGGTGTACGCCCGAACAGTTGCGCGGCGGTCGTCCTCGAGATGTCCCTCAATAACGTCTATCTCGGCGTCGACCTCGAGATCGCGGGGGGTGGTAAACCAGAGACGGTACTGTGTGACGGGTGCGGCGAACGCGCGAAGCGTCAGGCGGTCTTCGTCTTCTTCGAATTCTCGCTCAAGCGCGTCTAACTCGGCTTCGAGTTCAAGCTGTTCCAGCTGCGCCTTGATGTCGGCGTCTACCGAGTCGGCGGGGGGTGGGATGGGTTGCGGCTGTTGGGCCCTCGGGCGACCTCTGGCCATGCGTCGCCGACTTGCTACGTCGACTCGCGACGTGGAACCTGTGCCGACTTGGACGAACAATCGGCTGTCGAGCAACCTACAGGCGCGATGACAGACTGGCAGCTGAAAATTCTAAGGGAACGAGAGAGCAGGAAGGAACGCAGGAACGGACAAGCGAATGAGCAGGCTCGCGGGGCAACGGACGGGTATGGTCCTGAGCGACTACGATGCTGCCGCGCGTCACGCACACCCCAATGCATCCGCCGCCGTGCATGTGTTCTCGTAAAGGCGGCGCACTGTCCGACGTGGCACGTGCCAGGCATGGCTAGCTGGGCGCCGCGCTGCACGGAAGGGGCGTAAGCCAGTGCCATTCCACGTCGGAATGGGCGTGCGTTACGCGGCTTGCGACCGCCATTGGCGCCCCAGTGAAGAAATTAAGGCAAGCAGACATGGATCTCCCGGAGGCCCGGGATGACTCAAGCACGGCACGGCAACCATGCCGTGGGGGGCCTATGATCGGCGCCGACTTCCACTCGGCGCGCTTGGCAGAGAACGTGCCGTGTGGCCGGGTTTGTGTGCCTTGGGATGATCTGGTCGACACCGACTTCCCTGGCAACCCGCGATGCCACAAGACAGTGAAGATGTGGACGGTCCGATTTGCGCCGCGTGGGTTTGCACCGCTAGAGCGACGCGTGGCCACGACGCCCACGTCGTGGCAGCCTTGTAATCGGTGGGGCGGGTCTCGCACCTCCCTATTGGTCCGCGTGGAGGCATCCGCGGCTCGACGTGGCGAATTTTGTCCGCTGAGATTTCCTTCTCAGGAATCTCCCAGCGCAAACGGGTGTCGTCGGATTGTCGACAATCCCGAGGGCTCCCGAGGCCCCTGGGACGCCATTTGGGCCCGTCTGGGAGCTCGGAGGTCGTCGGGAGGTCGTCAATCCCGAGGGGGGGCCTTGTCCCTTTTGAACCGCGAAATTGGGCGGCATTTTTCGTCCGCTGAGGTATATCATCCCAGAAATCAAAACTTGGATTCAGGGAAGGCCCAAACGGAGCCCTTAACTCTCACGGGTGCCATGCGAATCTAACACTTGAATTGGTCTAGCTGCTCTGAACGTAGCCCGGAATGTTCAGGGCATTAAGGGCAAATGCCCTTACTTCGACAGCCCTGGCTGTGACCCTCTCCCTCGCCGCCTCATTCGTTCAGCAAGCAAGCACGCTCTCGCGCCTCTATTGTTCCTTACAGCCGACGGATGCGGTTTTGTGTGACGAGGCTGATCCATTCCTGGTGTGCACGCAAAGCTAGACTGGTGCCAAACGCAGCTGCCTCAGCAATAATCCAGGACTAGGCTTGGCACCCTCATTCTGTCCTAAATACCGATTTACCGAATTTCTCGTTTCGTAAACGGTAGTTCTCGCTTTCCTTTACCGTGTACCAGTCGTACCTAGTCTTGAAGCCAGCACTCATTGTTCGGGACAGCAGCTGTATCAGACACGGCGGCCTGTTATCAGTCTTCACCTACTGCTAAAATAATTTATGTGAAATATTTCCCGTCAACGACTTTCCGTCAATGATTTTCCGTCAGCTCATTGCCCGTCCCTTTTCGTCTTACTAGTCATACGGTCTCTCGTCAGTTCTTGACGCAACTTACCGCAGCCGCAGCTGAATCATCGTCCGAAAGCGTAGTGCCTGTATCATCTTGACTTCAGATCTTCTCCGCGCACATGACATCACCTACGCGGACCCGTACGAGAAACATTTTCGCTCTCATTCGCAGCCTGGACTCTAACCTCGGCTGACAGGAAGTTCCCTAGGCAAGTAGCCACTATCAGAAGCAAGCTGAATAGCAAGCATATCCGATAGGACTGATACTGTACCAGATAATAGCTGTTGAGCTAATCAGCTGACCTTCCTTCCAATCAGCCGGCCGCTGTTCTCATGTTTCCTCATCGCGGCAGTGCAGCACCAACCGTCCCTCCGTTCCTCTCCGCCCCCCCGCCCCACTCCCAAGCCCCCACC